GTGCAGTTATCGAATTTAAAAAAAAAAAAAAACATCCATTTGAATTCGCAATCCAGCAATTCCTAAAGTAATAAGTTTGATTAGTGGGTTGCTTTCAATGCGAACACGGCTTTTGAATTTGGCAAAACAAAACGTAGACAACAAACTTATCATCAACAACAATTATATTTTAAAGATTTATGGTAATTTACTTTTAATACTGCAACTGTATAACAATTTCAACGGATACAATTCTTCAAAAACTCCGAGAAATTGATTACCAGAGTCATCACAATTCATTTTATTTTACGGAGAAATAACCAGGGACTAGAAACTATTAGTCATTTTCAAGAACTTTAATCAATTTTACACTTTTTTTAAATTGTATAGTCGAATCATTTACTTGATACTTTCAATAAATTCGATCTACATATGAAACAGTACTGCTACGGTTGAAAAATGTGGCCATATAATTTTGGCATGATGTGATTCTTGATGAGAAGTTTAATTTGAAATTATATAATAAGATTTATTTACGATTTTTGATTAATGGCATTACATCATACATACAATGAAATACATTACATAAAACGAAGACCCATGTTACCTTCTTGTTTAGATTTAAAAAAAAAAAGGCTCAAGTCTATAAAGATGATAAGTGTTAAGCAGATCTATTTCTAGTATTCTGATAAATGAATCTTACCTGATTCATTGCACCACTGACAGATTTAAACGTTTTTATGTTGCGAAGATTTATAAACATTTAAAGCAGTGTAGAAGTTTTATTAAGAATAATGTTGGGTATATTCACTATACAGGAACATTCGGACACTTCTAGAGAATGTAAAATTACATTAAATGTATTAAGGAGGAGCGAAATTTTAAGTTCCTCGGGCATGAAAAATTTTATGCAGCAACCCAACCCAGATTAATCTCTATCATATCCTGATTACCTAATAATCAGCATATATAGTCGCATGTAATTTTTTTATTCTTGCCATTTAAATAAAAATAATAATGGAATATTAAATGATTGCACGTAGACTTCATAACTCTTTCAAACAGATTACTTACGTTGACACTTCACACACACATATATATATATATATATAGGCCTATATTTAACGATTCCAGTCTGTTTGAAGGCTATCAAAAATTATATATTTAAATAACCAATCTTTTTTTTTTATTTTTTACCTATAATTTAATATTTTGGATAAAAATACTTGTCGAATTCTAGTAATTAAATAAAGTGGTGTAATTATTATTATTTGTACAGTAAATTAGTGTAAAAATTCCTGTTATTATTCCAAAATGATTTAAAGGATTTAAATAAGCGTAAACGAATTTTTTTTTGGTGCCAAATTTCTCTTTATTTATATAATTATTTAAAATTTACAGACTAAAGTTAAGTATACGGTTTAAAAACAAAGAATGAAAATCTCTTTCTCTCTCAATAGTTTGTTCTTAAAACACTACTTAACAGTGTAAAAGAAGTATTTTTAAGAGTTATCCTTAAAGATAACTTTTTAAAGAATAGAATTTTGTAAGCAGCATATATAATTCTAATTAAATTCTTATCGTTAAACTTCATTAAGAATGACAGAGAATATTTTAATAATTGTTTTTAAGGTCTTTAATTCAGTTTAAAAAAACATTAAAACGTATTTTTTGTTTATAGTGACTATTCCTTTAAATTTGATTTTGTTTTCAATCCCAAAAAGAAACAAGAAAGGCTTTTATTCATATTCAAAAAAGTCTGTACAATTTAATAACAGCAATCGCACTGTCTGCGAGAAATAACATTTGGCTAAAAAAAAAATTCCTTTAACAAAACACAGTCGCTGAAATAAATAGATCTTAAAGAAAAAAAATTCTTACATTGTTTTTCCTATAATCACATTTTTAATGGAACTTTTTGCTTAGAGTTTAATGCAGAATTTACATTAAATAAAAACAAAAATGTAAGTGTTTAGCCTTTTATCATTCATTAGAAGTTCCTTTATTTCGTAGAGAATATAGAAAAATAATTCTTTTCAATATAAAAAAAAAACTATTGCACTGATTCTAAAGGAAGCGCACTGTCTTTTGTATTATGAAAAATCTGAATTTTTATAGCTTAACAAACAAGAATGAAATATTCATTGAAAAATCAAAGAATTGTTATAAGAACGTAGATATTTATCATTATTTTAAAATAATTTATATATTATTTTTACTATAAAAGGAATAAAATCACGGATTTANTATCATATACATTTAAAACGTTAAAATTTGAAGAAAATGAAATTGTTTTAATAAATGTTTAAAAATTATTTATTGTGTATATCATTATTTTTAAATCTAACAATCAGTTATTTAATTTCTAATTATATAAATAATACTAGTCTGTTTTAAGAAATTTGCAGTAGAATAAACATTGAATAGTTACATATAAAATTGAAAACATCACAATTGGTTTAATAATTTGCTACTTATCCCTACTACTGAGTTATAAAGAAGTTATTTCATGACCTCATTATTAATAAGCTCTATTACTGAAAAATGCAATTTATAGCGTTTACGCCTACGTTCGTCGCTAGTAATAGGGAATAGGGAAAATGAATTTTACCCAAACACGAATGTCGTCTCCATTTATTATTTCTATCCCTGTTACTTTCAGGTAGAAGGGAAGAGAATACTATCAATTACGTTAGTGTTGCCAACTTGATTAATGGCGACAAAGACTTAATGCTATCGAGCGAATTATCTTTAGCGTTAGGTAAACGAGTTGTTCAATTTTTGCTTTTTATGATGTGCTTATACTTGTATATTTTCCATAATTAAGAATAATTTTAGATCTATGAATTAGCTAGCTTAAGAATGAGGATGGATGTAATTTCTTATCCGATTTGGATCCTATATTTCTATATAAATGTCATAGCTATTGTCCCGAATTTTTTAGAGCCAGTCTTCTTAGAGATATTGTTGTACAAAGTTTTTATTAAAAGATGAATAATTATTTAATTGCTGAACAATTGAAGGTAAAATGTTGATATTATTAGATAAATAACGTAAGATAAAATATGCAATTACCATTTTGGTCATGAGCGTATAAGGACACTTTGTTTAAGGGGATTTGCTTTCTTGAAATTTTACACAAATAAAAACACAAGTACCAATTTTTTATTTGCTTTGATAATTTGTTAACCTTTTTGCTTTGGCTTTGCCCAAGTTTTTTTTTCAGTTTTTCTTGAATTTTCGACCCCCTCTGCTCCCTTTCCCCAGCTCGTACGCCCACGAGTTTATTCACAACTCGTGTTTAATGTAAATTTGACAAAAATATATATTTATTTATTTATTTCAATAAATTAATTATTGTATCAAGTTCTTAGTGAATCAATTAAAAAAATAAATCTGAAAATTATTTTGTATTTACTCGATCGAATTTGTTTGATCGTAGAAGAAATGTAAAAATTCTGCTTGAAATATAATCTACAAAAATAGAATAATTGTAAAATAATGGTTGCTTTGTCCAACTATTTTTACTTCTTACACGACAGAGAAGGTTATAAATCTAATGTAAATAACCACGACAAAAGATCTAATATAATTTATATGGTTAAAAAATTGAATGGATGACCTTTCTGAAGTAAAAATGATGGGTTAACTAAACAACTCCACCTCTCTTCATGAAGGATATGTTAGGTGAGAAATTGGAACATCTGTCAAAGACTAGAAAGATTTCTAAGATTGTATCGAGGCAAATATCTATTAATGTCAAGTGAAAAATCAAAAGAATTAAAAGATATAAAATGTAATAAACTCGTTTGATTATTTTTCTGTGTGTAAAATTTTAAAATATTTTAATCAAAATATTCTACATCAGATTCAAATAAATTATATACAAGTTTTAACAATCGTAACATCTAATTATTATAATTTATACTTTACNCAATAGAAAAAACTTGATTATAGTTTTTTTTTTGACAAACCATTAAAATGCTCATCAATTGACCTTTAAAAGAGAAAGAGATGATTTCGTCATAAATCTCTGGCGTCAGAAATGTTTCTTGCCAACCGACGGGGTAGGTCGAGTAGGAGGTGATCAACTTAATACGAGGTGTGCCCTTTCTCAGGTGTAGTTAGTGCGAAGCCTACTCCAACGTGGCGTGACGTCGGCCCGGGGCGGGTGACGCCTCCTGGTGGCAGGGACCTTACCGTAATATCTCGGAGCCTGCGGACACGGCGCCCCGCTTACAAAAGGGCGGCAAATGGCCGAACATGAGCGAGACCAGCTAGTAACAATGAGGCGCATTATTTGCCTTTATGGACAAGCAAAAGGCGTGGAGGTAGATTGAGAAGCGACGGGGATACAACTTTGGGCGGACGATTACTTACGCGCTGTCAAACCTTTCTATACGCGTTTTCTGAGAATTTCAAATTACTGATCGAATATAAACAAAGAAGCTCGATTCTTTTCTTCGATAGCTCCATACTTATTAAAGCGAAACGTTTCCTCTATTCCATTCGCGTTTTGTCAATCCACCGTTTTATTTATTAAAAAAAAAAAAAAATGCCATTTAAAATGAAAAGCTTAAGTGTGTATGTTTGTCGGGAGGTTTTTATACGTATTTTATTACAGATCAATTTGTAGATGTGTTATCGATTAAACGTAATGTTTCATTTAGTTAATGCATTAAAAAGAAAGCACGAATCATTTGTCGCTTAAAGACGAATCATGATATGCCCACATCCATCATTTCGCCAGCTCCTCGTACTTCTTGGCATGGAGGCCGAAATGCGTTAAGTAAATAGTCTGCCAACGACGGCACAATTGACAGCATCACTCGAAAGACCAACGAACACGTTGGGTCGAACCAATAGCCGGCCAAGGAGCCAGTGAGATAAAAAAGCAACGACTCGTTTGATTGGGCCAGATTCGTCCGGGTCCTTCCCTCTCTGCTCTGTTCGATGCGGTTTCAGTCGGCGTGTGAGGCGTGCGTGCGATGTGGACTGATCCGTCTGTCTTCTTGTGTTAGGAACGTCTGCATGACGAAGTAACCGGACCCGATATGGACATGTGGAAGACCGATTGGAATCTTCGACTGACTGTTTGCCTTTCGTGCATCGTTTTACCCGTGACGGCCATTGGGACTTGGATGTAAGTATGTTTTTCTTTGTCTGCTTCACGAGCTAAGGGATAAAAGTTTTAGGCTACCCGTAATAATAGTTGAATGACTGAATTAAATTTACATCGAAATCGGTTTAAGTGTTTACAATGTTAGAGAACCGGAAATACCATAAATATTCAATGCACGACGATCCAATTAGCTTTTATAAGTGTTAAGAATATTCTTAAAAATTAATTTTTATGTGTCAAAAATAAGAAATAATATCATTTATGTAGATTATCATTCTGTAGAATTAATTATACTAATAGAAGTTCAGAATCTCATTTCGATAAAAACTGATATAATTAAGTTAATAAATTTTAATTCTCTATCTATATTTACTTCATTAACTTGTTTAAAATATCAATTAAAAGCCAAAACATTCCTTAAATTGACAAGCAGTTGATAGATTTATCACAATCACGATAAATCGACATAAATAACAGATTATTGGATCTCAGTCGAAATGTCAACGAGGTTACCGTATCTATGATTTTAATTTGATACTAAGTTTAGTCAAAGATAACATTATAAGGTGTTACGTGTGAGAAGAGCAGCCTTCAACACGGTAGAAACCAGAAAGTTTAATTGTATTCGAGTTGAGCGGCGTGGGTGTGAAGCAACAGGTTCTACTCCAAGGCGATATGTAGCCTTAATTGCCGTAATTTATTGTTGAAGAGTACCTCTCTATGATAAACTAGAAGTTCATAGAAGTGGAAACAATGTGTGTTTGTTTGGATCGTGCAATTTGCTAGTTTCTTTCATCTGAGAGATCATTGTCGGTGACATTTCGGTTAATATAAAAGTATAAATGTGTCAGTTGGAACGCCCCTTACATATCGCGTGCTAGGCAGTCATTATGTAAGGCGCGAAGGACCCTCCTTTTTGCATCCTCGATAATCTTTGATCTCTACCGACATATTCATTACAAATAAATTAAAGAGCGGCGAACAGTTGCATCTTTGCACGACCATTTTTTAAACGGGATCCTTATTGATAATTATGATATTTGATAAGTTACTCTCTTCTGTGTTCAGAGATTATTTTAAAATCTTTCCCATTCAATTACTTTTTCCGATATAGAACGGAAGTTTATTTTACATTTATTTTCGTTCATAATATTGTTTGCTGAGCCTTTTTTAAATTGTTTTTTTTCATAAACAAAGGCTACAAATAATAATAATAATAATAGTCTGATTAGTCTAAACACGACGTTTAAGCTTATCGCAAAACGTTAATACTTATATAAAAAAGAACCGCGACAGGTTTTCAAAGCATATTATAGGCTTTGTTTCGGATTAAGAGATTTGTACGTAGTCCACAACGAACAAAGTACGTGAATATTCTTGTAACAAATGACCGCTTTATTAAATAGACCAAAGTTTATCATTAGATAAAAAGAAAAAATCAGCAGAAGCAGGCATCAATGCGTGTTACCAAATACGAAATAAAAAAAAAATGTTTTTAAATCATAAATTAACGTTCGTGGACAGCAGCTTTCTGTAGGCGACCGCGATTAATGATATCTTAAGCCGTTCGATGCCGAACTACCGTTGTTTAGGCGGATCGATAACAGTTAATTAACTTCAACACGATCGCCAACACGAAGAAATGGTCGAGATTTCCCCCGCGGTCTCCTTTTTTTTTTCTAGAGTTTTTTTTTCATCCAGAATAATAAATGTTCCCCACGGTTTCAGTTATTCAACTCACATTTTGATTTTATGATTCAGAGTTTTCGAGGCACCCAAAGATGGAATATTGAAATTATTGTTTAGTCGTTCAATTGGAACGAACCTGTCTATTGTAAAAATAATTTCGTGGACTTTAATTTTAAGTTTTTGACAGTTTCGTACTTAGAAATAAAATAAATCTATTTATATATTATTATTAAAATTTTATTAGCGTATACAACGAGTTTAGCATTAAAAGTCAACAATTGTTTAATCAAACTCCTTACGAAATGCAATAGGTTTAAAGTAAATGATTTTAAATTTTATTTTGAATAGTTTTACCTGATGATGATAATACCAATATTAAAAATTATATATGGATAATTATATACCATAAATACATATTTAACGAATAATACGCAAGAAAATAGTCGAATATTCTTATTTGCTTCGTTCTATAGCGAAAGAAGAAATTTCCTTAATTTTTGATATTTACGAATCATATAAAGCTCACCATACATCAGTTTTTTTTCTAAAATAAAATGTGTTGATTCAATAGAAGCTAATGTGCAGACATATTTATATTTTTTAATTTTACTTATATGCATTTTCTTTTAATCTCGTATCACTTTGCTTCTTTTACGTAGGCTATATAATAAATTGCTCTTTTGAATGAATAATTTCTTTATAGTTAATAATAAATCAAATAAATTACAAGTTTAATTACTTAATAGGAATCGATGCTATTTTAGTATTCTCCCATTAAAACTTCAAGATTCAAATTCGATGAAGTGCATGGTTTATTTTATGGAGCTTTTAAATATATAATAATAGTCCTATAAGTATATTTTTAAACTGCATAAATAGATTTTTATGCAATCTAAAGACGGCATAACCATAAAAATTTCCAAAATTAGCATCTTAGATTTTTTTTTTTTATTTGAAGCAGAACCTCTTAAATTTTATAATGAGAGAATTAACGTACTTCCGCGTACTTCTTGGAGGCAAAATTGTTAACAGTTTCTCAGATAATAATCACGAAGTTAAATCGCAAATAAAAAAGTGGTCGATGAATCTATCCTTATAAAGTTTTTCAAGTTTAGAGTCGTGAGATCGCTTCTGACCCCTCTCAACAGATCTTATTTCGAATAACAATCTGCTATCAGACTTTAGCTCGGTCAAACCTGTGATTACCAATCGGTCTGTTGTTTCAATTTAAGCGATGACTTGTATTATGGCAATCAGTGCCACTGATAGCATCTCGCCAACTATGATGTATCAGGGGTTCGAGTCCTTCACGCATACAGCCGAACTAGAAAATGACGTGGACTAAGACAAACGATGCCCCACCCCACCTATCAACACACTGGATGGACGATCACGCATGCCAAACATGTGCGTAATTAACTTAAAGGGTCAGGTACAAACACGTGGAATGTTGCTTTACGTCTGTAGAAATTATCCGAGTCTGCATCACGAATTGTTTTTCATCTTCCATCGTAATTAAACTCGTGAACTTTCTGACTCACTCGAGACGAGAATCTCTAATAAACGAAGACATCTTATTGAATGATAATGCCACAAATAATGTCTAGATGCGATCGAAATGAATATATTTGCCAACGCATCCACTTGGCCTACTTTGTAACTTGCTTAACACTCAATAAAATCTCTCCATAAAATGTTCAATTTTACGAGCATTTTGACGCCAGAAGTATCTCTATAAAATTAATTTTACTGTAAAACCTGACTACATTAATTCTTGATTTTTTTTGTCAAAATGGAAATTATATTAATCTATCTTTTACGACAGATCTGTTTATTACATGCATTTAATTATTATCTAAATTTTATTTTTAATTTAAGAATAAAATCATTAAAATTGTTCTTCAATGTAAATATAAACAGCATTGATTCATTGAAATTAAATTAGATGGAAAAAATTCTGGGTTAGCAGCTGAAAACTGGCATTTATCCTCCATCAATTGCTGAATATACTCCTAAAAGAGCAAAATTTCATATAATTTACAGAGGAAAATTTATAGCATTTAAAAGAAAAAAATTTTTTGTAAGTGCAGTAGCGTCTGGTGTTTTATAAACAATTCTTAGAATGATGAGCCACCCGAAAAGGAGGAATCAAGATTGAGAAAGATATAATCGGCTCCTCTCACAAACGAAGTGCACTTAGAGCTTATCTGCTGGAATAATTTCGATCCTTATAAGGCATGCATTTTAAAAAATAAATTTTCAAAAAACAGTCACGTTCATATCCTGCCATTGCGTGAGAACTCACTCCCGTAGGCCCTCGTTTTGGCAAACACGTGACCGAAACTATTATGCAGGAAGAACCCAACAATCTAAAACTGCGGTCGTGTCTTCGTAAATCTTCGGATCCATTGAGTCTTTGGTGGAACGAGAGAATTACGATCGTATCTTAAATTAAAGAGGAAATCTCCAACAATAGCGCACCACGAGAGCCTACAAGGAGATTTTAATTACTGGTGACTATGCGGGTACGAACGACCAAAGCATGCGCTCCATCAATGTTACTCTATCAAGAGAATTTGTCATCGCCCATTCTTTCGTACTAGATGATAAATGAGAAAAATCTGATGAATGAACCAATCTCTCTGACTGTTTAAAAATAAGCAAACACTTATTTAAATATACAGGAATTGGTAGATTTGTCATAATTAATCATTAGTTCCTTAATAGAAATAGAGAATACGGCAATTAGATTCCAGACAAGGAAGTAGAACCGTTTCGTTAGAAGTGTATAAAGTTAAGCAAGATCTTTTATAAGCGGTGTCCCTTGTATCCAATAAGTTGTGTGAACTCTGTTATTATCCTGACATGATTTTGGTACAATGCATCTTTGTGTTGGTACGATGTCAGGGAATAAAACAGCAGCGCTTTTTTCATAAACAGCATTCTACCTAATACAGAGCCGAGTCTGTTTTGTTGTAGAGGCACTTGAGAGAAACGAAACTTTCCAAAACATAATTTAAATTACGTCGTAACATTCGTAATGTTTTCTTTTTCTAAATATTATTTTAGTTCGTATTGGTATGGCATTTCAACAATAAGTAAAGGGGAACGGAATAGAAAGCATTAAAGAAAACAAAGGATCATTTCATCCTACGAGTGAATTATGAATAGGGTCATAAGATGTTCTTCAATTATAATTAAACTAAAGTGTTCAAAACAATAAGTTTAATTAAAAAGAAGTTTAGAATAGTATTGAGAGATTTAAAACAAAGTTAAACCTTTACTATTTAAATATAATTATACTTAACTACGTAAAAATCCTCCTTACATTG